GGCAAAATCTAAATATGAACCTAACGTCCTAATTAACAATGTACTGAGAGAATTATGTGTGAAGTATGAGGGCTGGCATAAATTATACTCTGACGGTTCCAAGGGAGCTGATGGCTTGGGCGCAGGTTTTTATGATCAAAGCTGTAATTACAAACAAGGTTTTAAAGTTATCTCAAATGTATCTATAATGACGCTTGAACTCATTGCAATTCATCAAGCTTTGATTTACACAGTGAGGAATAATTACAACAAAATTGTTATTTTTACTGACAGCAAGAGCGCTATATTGCACCTGGCTCGATGCGCCTCTGGTTGCAGCAGAGGTACATCGACAGCCTACGACATCCTAAAAATAATTTTGAATTTTAGCAAAAATAACACAGAGGTGAAGGTGCAATGGGTTCCAGCACACATAGGTTTAATGGGAAATGAGGAAGCTGACCGTCTGTCGAAATTAGCTGCTAAGGAAGGAATGCAACTTGATTATACACCTGATTATTTAGAATATTTACCTGAGTTTAAACAGAAATGCTTCGATGTTTGGCAAAATCATTTTACAGTGACATCAAAAGAAAAAGGCATATGGTACAAGACCATTCAAGGTAACCTTCCTCAGATTCCCTGGTTTGAGAATAGTAAGGTAGGCAGAAATTATATTAAGTTATTGTTACGATTACGTTCCGGACACTATCCATCAGCGAAATTTGGGTTTCTAATGAAAAAAATAACCTCACCCAATTGTACGACGTGCAATGTTATAGAAGACGTTCAACATCTACTGATGGATTGCGTCAGGAATCAAAGTCAACGGAACGATCTGGTCAATGAATTCCAGCTAAATATACAAGAGGTAGGGTTGATACAATCTATTTTAGCTCAGCCAAATTCTGAATTAGCAAAACGATTGTGTCAGTTGATGTATTTCGTTGACTAAGTTAATTAGGAACTTTCATGTTTAATTTTAAGGTTTTGTTTATTTTGTTTATATAATGATTGTAGGTAGTATTAGGTACGATGGGGTTGGCGTATTCTCATGGATAAAAACCCTGTATTAATTACATGTAGAATAAAAAAAAAAAGATAGTTAGCTATCGTATTTATTTAACAATTAACATTAATAGATTTTTTTTGAGGGGGGAAAATCATCCAATGACTTCTCCCGCCTTGGGTGAGGCGGGAGGGAGTGTCAGACTCTTACTGACTAAAAACCACCCAATTCCTACTCCTGCTCTTCGAGCTGAAGCCCCGGCAATCCGTTAGGCCTTCCACGGCTCCGTATCGAGCATCTATCTACTGGGCCCTATCTGTGGTGGTCTGATCTATTTGACGCGCCGTAAGCACCGGTCTGGTTCTGGTCGGGTGGCAAGCTACTCTTGCTCGCCATCCACAGACCCGCACAACATTAATAGGTAATGTTCCGACTTCATTAGTGAATGAAAAAATATGATTATGTTAGAAATAATTTAATTACATCCCCTCCAAGTTTTAATGTGAAAGGGGCCACCATAAACAGTACATACCTACTTACAGACATTTTGCGTAGGACCATGATAAAAGACCCCCATAGAGGAAAAGTCTTATGGAGTTATTTCTGACGATTCGGTAAATGGAAGGTCAAGTTACACTGGCTACATTAGTACGGTAGATAATATTATTTCGTTAGGAATACATACTTTTTATTTAATTTGTTAATGTAGGAGGAAATGTTAGTTGGGATGTTGGTTCATTTAATAAGGTAATTATTTTTTCCGGGTTATTTTATCTACCGAATCCTGTAGCTATCTTCTTCTATCAAAAAAGTTTTTAGATAACAGTTGTTGACATTAAAATACAGATATCTGTTAATGATTTTATCATCGCATACCAAGAAAATGATACCTTAACATTGTTTTATAGTTGAGGATAGCGCCATCTATAAAGAATCTTTTGAACTAAATGGAGAGAAAGTGCTGGCTGAGTAAATAGAAAGTGCAAATATGAAACAGTAGATGGAGTTGTGGTCAAATTTCCTCCACTTCAACTAAGAACCGAAATAAACGTTAAGATTGTAATCAAAATATAAATTATGTTTTAAATTATGCAACTTACCAGATAATATTTTTATTAACTATCTCAAAATCTTCAAAGTTAGCATAGTTTACGAGAAAGCGTCTATTACCTGCCTAGGTAGGTACTAAAATAGTACGTGCTAAAATTACTAAGTAAATAACTTATGCCTTGTCTAGGAATACCAATCAATTAGAAAACAATGACATAAAGTCGATAGTAGACAGAAATGTCATTAAGTACTAGGCAGTTCTCATGTAGGAACACTATACAAACTATAGATTGACAACAATAGTGTAGTTTTCTAAATTTTTACATTTTAATGTCCTAAGCGAAAATCATATCCCTAGACATAGAACAGTGGCATTAAGTGCCGAAATGTGCACCTCTGCCTACTCCTTCAGGGATAAAAAGGCGTGTTGTTATGGTATATGTTATGTTAATGTCCGTCTGAAAACCCGTACTTTTTCTTTTCCCACAAAATTGAATAGGTACTTTCAACGATATATTAATTTGAAATACATTTTGTACCACGTTATGACGTAACGACCTTCCACTCCTAAACTTAACTCCATTTTATCTAAGTCATGTAACTTTATATATAAAAAAAAAATATGTGTCGAATATTTTTACATTATCTAACTCATGAACTAATTACATTTTAAATTATTATTATTAGCGCATCAGCTACAGGCACTGGTTGGATGATCCGATCCTCCGCAACGGTTCGCAGCTTCACTTCCTACACGAAACAACTATTGTGAACACAAACTGTTATTCAGGGTCTCAGAGGAAAGAAAACGTTCAAGAGTTGATTCGCACCGGTTGGTTACGTGGCAAATGTGGTCTTCAGAAAAAAAAATATAATTGATCTTATGAAAATTAAATAGATAATCCCACAGTTTTCATCACTCTCATTATCCGGAACTGATAGAATACTTATCACGTTTATTAAACACCTGTTTTCACGCCTATTCAATCACTATCAACATAAACATTACAAAACCCTATCTAGGCAGAGTGGTCGCAAGTGCAACTGCCGGGCAAGGGGTCTCGGGATCGATTCCCGGGTCGGGCAAAGTATTACTAAGTTTTTAAAAATCCCAGTAATAGCACGGAGTCTGGAATTGTGCCCGGTATATGTGCTCCAATTACTAGGACTCGTAATATAAATAGTGAAAAGTGGGTGTTACATTGTACAGTGGTATTAAGTGCCGTAATGTGCACCGACCTACTCCTTTGGGGATAAAAGGCTTGATGTTATGTTATGTTACTCTTCGCGTATCGTATCGCTAAATAGAAGGCTTTAGACCCCACTTTAGAACAATACGTTGTTATTATATTGTCCTCAAATGTCATTAATTTGGTATAAGTAAACATGTTGAATAGTGACAGTAATTGGACTGACAAAATCTTCATTGACAGTGGCGCCAACAAGAGAGAACTAAGCAGTAGGCCCCTATTAGCTCTTGAAAACTCCTACACGAAGATCAATGTCTTACTTAAAAGCATACTAGAAACTTAGGGTTGTAAGTTCGAAAAATCATATTTTTTTCTTCTAACAAAATGGGTCTTTTTATCTGAGTTATTAGCTTGTAGAGATATGTTTCGGTAATTAACTCATCAAAAATATCCTTATGGCTTCCGTTAACACGTGGAACGCACCTACTTATTAAAATTTATATTGTGTAAAGATGTGAAAATATTTAATGAAATTACCGAGAGATGGTAGCCCTTAACTAATCCCTTAAATAAATACTACCTTCAAAGTGTTTGTGAGTAACATCTTAATCTGAATACAGCATCATTATCAAAGAGGCCCTTTAATATAAAGTTCTTAATCTTACTTGAAGAATTACATCGTTTTTACTTTTACCTTTTACAATATTTTAACTAATCTAAATTATACTCTATCATGTCAAACTTAAAGCTACTTTTTGTTTGTCGAGTGAAATTATCCATACAGTGCATGTCGTTAGTAGAGAGTATTGCAATTGTCAGTTTATTTACTCAAGAGATAAGGTTGGTTTTGCAATGTAACTTAAAATAAATAGAAGCAGTGGTTTGTTGACTGAGCAGGGAATCATTGCGCTATTGCTCGCAGTGATGTGATGACGTGAGCTCTAATTCAATGTTCTTTTTTTGAAATTTCGAATGTGTGTTTTTTAAATGAGTTTCCATTTTTCAAGTTTATTTTTTTCTTTGTGGATTTTATTCGACATTTTTGTGTGAGTATTTACTTTTTTGGTTTGATTATTTTTGTTATTGTTTATTATTTTTATTCTGTAGTTGGCGCGAAAATGTTCGTTAGGAAATGTAGTAAATTGCGTTGAAAACGTGAAACTTATACACAAAATGGCGATGTATGTGGGACTATTTTTTATAATTATTATTAGGTACCTGTAATTACCATACTTCGTGCAAATAAACGTTCTTATACTTATTCTTAAAAAAAGTATATACTTGTTTTGTACCTAGGTACTTTTTTTATTTATAGACACTTTTGCCATAGAATTTTCTTTGACAATCAATTTTCCACGGTGAAACTTTGACGTATTTATTTATTTTCCATCAGATTAAGTGAGAGTAGGTACTAGCTATAGTTTATCCATAGATACTGCGGTTTATCTCTACTATTTTGTATATTCTTATTCGTAGATGAACAATTTTTTTTCCTCTTTGGCAACCGAGTCTCCAATATTATGTTATCGACTATAGGTACCTACTGGTAGACAAACAACGATATCTTTAATTGTGATAATGACATATTATGAACTTGGCATAGGTACAAGACGTTGAGATATATAGGCGTCACAACTTTTTTTGACAAACCTGAACCTTTAAAAGGGGTTCTCTAACTCACTTGAAGTGCATGGTGATAACAGCAATTAACCTCTGCAATCACCATCATTATCATTTTTGTTACAACTGCGACCCGCAACTGAGGAATTGGCAACAACCTCCCAGAGCCACTTGCTTGGGTATTATGACAAATTAGGCATTGATTGATACCTTTTGGATATATTTTTGCTGATGGCGAATATTTTACCGGCTTCAAAAAAATAATAGCCTCCGTTTTTGGAAGTCAGATAAAATAGGAGGCTCTCAGTTTAACCTGTATGTAAGTATGTTTGTGCGCGATTATCTGAACCGATGATATTGACGCGGTTTTCAGAGGAGTATTTGTTACACTTAGGAGGAGGTTTTAGTATATTAATTAACATTTGCTCAATTAATATACAAGTGCAAGTTAAACGCTAGCGGTAAACGCACCAAAGACACAGGAGAAAATACTAGTGTGGGGCAACATTTAAATAAAAAATACAAAACAAATTCAAACAAAGAAGGTTGAATTCAATTTTATAAACGTAGTTTTTAAAATAATTGTTTCCAGCCACTAATCTGGAAGTCATTGTAGGCCGACCAATGTGTAGGTACTAGTTGACGTTTTATAGCTGACTAGCGACCCGCCCCGGCTTCGCACGGGTGCAATATGCATGTATTATACATACAAACCTTCCTTAAGAATCACTCTATCTATTAAAAAAAACCGCATCAAAATCTGTTGCATACTTTTAAAGATCTAAGCATACATACGGACATACAGCGAAAGCGACTTTGTTTTATACTATGTATTGATATGAACGAGGACCTATTTATCAACAGCTAGCGACCCTGCCACACGGTTACAATATGCATGTATTATATCCAATATTAAAAAAACCGCATCAAAATCTGTTGCATACTTTTAAAGATCTAAGCATACATGGTAACAGACAGACGGCGGATAGCGACTTTGTTTTATACTATGTAGTGAAGTAGCATGTACGAAACCCACCCCATTCTCAACCTTTACTCTACAAAAAGACAAGTGCAAAGAGAATAAAGACGAAACAATTAAAAAAGTAAAAAAGCAACAATAAAATAATGTAAACCGTGTCGTATGTCGCAGAGTGTGACAGTGCAATTACGATCTCAATTGCAGTCATTATAAGATAAAAATCAAAGATTCACTCGTATGGAACTGCCGTCACCAGCACAAGTATATAGGAATATATTTTTGATATACTTATTATATATTTCCGCACTAAAAACTGGTTGTAGAGGAAAGCGAAAGGCTTTCCAAAATGTTTGTCTGATTTTTTTAATTGTTTCGATATTTGAATATGTGGTTGGTGATGAGACAGTTCTCATCATTATGTATTATCAACACTTAACATAATATCACGCTTTTTGTACTCCAGGGGTAGGCAGAGGTGCCTGTTACGGCACTTAGTGCCAGTAAACAATGTAACACCCACTTTTCACGATTTATGTTTTGAGTCCCATGTAATAGGGTGTGAGCCTATTGCCATATACCATAATTCCAGATTCCGTGCTACTACTGACAATTAAAAAAAACCAGTAATACTTTGGCCGCCCAGGGAATCGAACCCGAGACCCCTTGCCCGACCGTCGCACTTGCAACCAATCGGACAACGAGGCAGTCAAAATGATTATTATCAATCTTGTAATACTACACTTAGGAGCAAATACACACAGCCACTAGCGTTATTTCGTTTCATATTTACCTATCAAGAAATGACAATGAAAAAGAAATAATTACTTTATAAACTAAGCTTTAAAGATAACTGACTACTACTACTTAAATAATACTACCTTTTACCCGCGGCTTCGCTCGCGTCACAAAAGGATGAAAAGTAGCCTATATGTGACATATACTAATACAAACAGCGCCATCTATACCAATACTTTTGTTTTTCCTCGGGAATATCAAATTTTACTGGGATAAATAGTACCCTATTATTTAATCCGGACTTCTAACTTTACGTCTGCAAAAATTCAAAGCAATCGGTTTAGTAGTTACGGCGTGAAAGCGGAACAAACAAACAAACTCACTTTCCGATTTATAAGGATACCAAAAATTTCTTCTAAATGTAAGAAGCAGTGTAACGTCGTCGTGCCTCGTGGTGCGGGTTCTGAACCTACCAACGACAAGTACCAATGTGACTTTTCCAACTTACCTACATATACTTTTTAAGATTATCTAAACACCATTGACAAACGGTGAAGGAATTTCTAATTGTAGGTAAGTTTGTAATCGCAACCGCATTGAGCAAGCGTAGTGATAAATGCTCAAACCTTCCGTGAGAAGAGGCTTTGCTCAGCAGTAGGCATATTTTATAGACTTTTAATGATGATGAAGTGTAACAAGTAGCTTTTTGAAAACCGCGTCAAAATTGGTTCAGCCAATCGCGAGATATTTGCGCACAAACATACCTACAGGTCAAATTGGGGTCTCAGTTTTTGAAGTCTTAAAAAGACTGGTGGCTCCGATTCTTTGCTCCGAATTTAGTTGATTTTGGATTATAGACCTTACTGTACCTATAATCTTCATGCTTGATAGGTGTATTAGAGACCACAGTACAAGAAAGCAAAAAAATAACTCTTTGATTAAAATCTCTTTAAGGCCCAAATCCCCCTTCATCGTTCCTCAACCCCTGAATCCCCAACCATTCTTAAATTCCTAATCCCAAAAGGCCGGTAACGCACTTGTAACGCCTCTGGTGTTCCGGGTGTTCATGGGCGACGCCGATTGCTTACCATCAGGTGATCCGTCGGCTCGTTTACCGCTTTATACCATAAAAAAACTCTATAACAACAAATTAGCTGTATTAATGTATTGGTGTTTCCTTGACCAAGATTCATTCATTTTTGTAAGCATTTACACAAATGTGGCATCTTGATAAGAACTGACTATTCATATCATTTTATGACTGATGGCTGCTCAAAGGCTAATTATATTGATATTGTACCCACGAATGTGCATTCAGAATTATTCAGATAAATAACTAATTCTTTCATTCATCTAAATTGCCTACTTATTATAATATTATTTTCTAAAACTTTATCTCGATTATAATCAGGTCGGGCAAAAAGAGTTTCGAAAGTTAATGTTAAATTTAACTTCTTACATTCTTTACTCTTTGAAAATAAAAGACGACCTAGGTACGCCACTCTGTAAAAACAAAAATAGACAGAAAATAATTCAATTATCGCAACAATTATAATGGATATTATTCGTGTAATTAGTAATTAAAGTGGGAAAAAAGCGACAAATCATTTCGTTTCACTTTTGATTAAATTAACAGATTGCTTTGATTTCGTAATGAAGATAGTGATAATGTTTTCAAAAAGTTTCTATAATAATAATATACAAAATGTTAATATCCGTTCACATAATATGTAGGTAATGATAAGATCAATATGTTTAATTATATAAGATACAGTAAAAATGAAAGTCAAATATAACTGTACTGTACTGTGTCACTATTTATGTTATGAGTCCCTTGTGATGGGGGGTAAGCCTATTGCCATATACCGGGCACAAGTCCAGACTCCGTGCTACTACTGAGATTTTTTTTCAAATCTCATTAAACTTTGCCCGACCTGGAAATCGAACACGAGTCCCCTTGCCCAGCAGTCGCACTTGCGACCACTCGGACAACGAGGCAGTCAAAAACTACTATAGATGAAATATAACCGTTGACAAACTAGTGAGTACCACTAGTGAGTTATCTCCTCGGTCTAGCCCTCAGGGAATAACAGGCTTAAGTACCTCTTTATATAACAATTCTACTACATCACCGTAGGTAATTGTTACAAGTGTGAATGTGCCAATTATAATGAAAAGACCAAGCCTCTTCAATGTGACCATATTTGGTACAATACTGAGCTCTGGACAGCCATTTATCCAATAATTGACAGCTAACATGTCTGCTGGTTAGTTTGGGATAACGCCCACATCATTTTTTACAGTATCGCATGTACTTTATATTTGCAGTACTTACCTATCTGACAGTTTGAATATAGGACTCCTATCAAAGTAAAAAAAAAACTGCTCCTCTCTAGGATTTTCGCCTGTGTTGTGACACCCATCATCATCAACAACAGCCTATAAGTGGCCGCTGTTGACCAAAGGCCTCTTCTCGCACGGAGAAGGCTTGAGCGTTAATCACCACGCTTGCTCAATGCGTGTTGGCGATTTCAAACTTATAATTAGAAATTATAAGCCCGGTTTGCTCACAATGTTTTCTTTCACCGTTTGTCAGAGGTGTCTAAATAATTTTAGAAAGTACATATAACTCGGAAAAGTCATATTGGTCCTTGCTGTTAGTAGGTTTCGAACCCGCAATCTCATTAATCTTTTAACTGCCGACTAATACTG